AGTTAGCCGCGGGGAAGGTTGCCAGCAGCGTTACTGCACTTACCCCGTGCTTGCCACTCCCTGGCCTGGCCCGCCCCAGGCACCTGCAGGGTGCCCACATCAGCTCAGGAGAGGCTGAGGATGGGGATGGTCTTTCGGTGTTAGACCAGCTGAGGCTGAGTTAAACCGGGCATGCCTCGTCTGCACACGAAGCAAGTGTTTTTATTTGTGTGGGCTGTTACATTTCGCTGGGGAAATGCAGGAGAATAAATAACCTAACTTAACGCTTGCTCTTGGCCTTTCATGATTGGAATCATTCTTTAAGAAGCCAAAAACTTAAAAGATTGTGACAACATAAAACTATTTCAGTGACTTTCTGTTACAAAGTCACTGATTGCAAATAAAGATTTACTGGAGAGCTGGTTTTATGCCAGCACAAACTTCACTGTTAGCATTTGCATGATGTTAAAGGAGGTTACAACACGGTACAGTTGAGGTTAGCACCCAAAGTTAATTTTGAGATTTTAGACTCAATGACTGTACTGCACCAGAGCTTCACTAGGTCTCCCGAGTTTTACTATAATCCAAATAATAAGCTTTCGGTTTTTCCTTTTGTATTCCTACTGTATTTGGAGCTTCCAGACCCATGCATTCTGCAATAGCAGGGACAGCAAATGTGAGGAAAGGAAGCTGTGCTACTGGTGAATTGTGGTGAACAAAGAGATGACAAGACAAATCACTATGAAAGCATGAAAGGGGAGGAAGTTCTTATTCTTGCATAGAATTCTCCTGTACCTTCTCCACGTGGAGAGGAATGGTGTCTTCAGTTTTTCTTTTGCACATCCAGTAAATATATATAATCCTGGTGCACACTGACCCTGGAAAGCTGTGACACAGTGCTTATGTTCTTCTGTCAGAAGAGCAACAGCAATTTTTGCAGCCTTTTTTTAGTTGCATGCTGCCAGTGGTTGGCATCACACAGTAATTGACAGCAATAATTCATAAATTCAAACTTCAATAATATTAAAGCAGTGTGATATAAAACTCAACCTTTTTTTTTCTTATGGTAGGGAAGCGGTATCTGCTGACAGAAGGTGATATAAAGTTAGAAGAATTTCAGCAGATGAAAGTGGCAATTAGAAATGAAGTTCATGGCAATAAAGGTATTAGTATTTATTTCATAATCACCATTCTCAGTTGACAAGACAAAGTCATTCTAATAATCAGTTGACCCCATGTAAAAGAGCAACTTACGTCTTTTTTTGTAGCATTTCTGTAGCTGAAATTATTAGAAGATCTGAGGCTTTGGAGACTGAAACAGTATTAGTTATGCTGTGTTGGACAATAGGGAGATGCTGAAGTACGTGAAGTGTTTACGTATGAACTGAAATGTTGGTGTCCTTGCTTTTCGACCTTCATTAGACAGTCTAATAGAAAATACTGTCTCAGTCTACAAATCTTGCAGCAGAGAAGGTTAATACAAAACCTAATAGCGACTTAACTATCCAGAGAAGGCCTATGCATGTAAATTATACAAATAACCTTTCTTTAAGGAACATAAATGTAAGCACGTATCTGCCCTTAATGTTTAAGAAAGGTTAGGTAAAACTCTATTTTCTGCACCTTTTGAATTGTTTTCAGGTGTTCTAGGGATACAAACTGACAATTGTTCCAAAAGATGTAGGTAATTTTCACTTTTTTAGTGTGTGGCAAGTAAGAGACTAATAATCAAATTTAGCTCATATAAAACAGGCTTCTTGGACAGAGAAGGAGGTAAAGTCAACATGACAGTTTTTCTGTACTAAGTAAAAGCTGACTTTAAATCGGGCAGCAGCAAGTCAGCATGTTGTTATATTTTGCTGGGATGATGACATACTAATATTGGGGACTATTCATCATGTACTTGAGATACATTGAATTTATTGCTATGGGTTAGTCACCTTTGCTAAGAGAGGCTTGTAGAAGCCAAATCTTTGGCTTTACAGGTCACATTTGACTATTTTGTACAAATAGTAGGCTCTGAGAACGGATCAAAACAATGAGCTAAGCACCTGTTTATGTCTATGTGTGCATTTTTTCTGTACTCAGTGCTTAATCTAATACATGAAAGATGAAGTAATTAGGGCTAGTAGTAAACTTGGTTTAGAAATGGCAAAAGCAGTAATAAATATTCTGTTACACGGAATATAGAAGTTATTTATTATAGTTATAATGCAACTATTAACTGTAATACTTACAGTATTAGCTACAGCAGTTAAACAATTATCTACAGTAGTTATTATAACCATTAAAAGTTCTTTACAAATACAGTTCAGATCCTAGGAGTTTTTTTCATTTCTGCACACCTTTGAACACATCACAAACATTATATATGCATACTTATCATAGAGTCATAGAATGGTTTGGGTTGGAACGGACCTTAAAGATTATCTACGTCCAACCCCCCTGCCATGGGCAGGGGCACCCTCCACTACACCACGTTGCTCAAAGCCGCATCCAGCCTGACCTTGAAGACAGCCAGGGATGGGACATCCACAACATCTCTGGGCAACCTGTTCCAGTGCCTCACCACCCTCATGGTAAAAAATTTCTTCAGACATAGTCTAAATTTACCCTCTTGCAGTTTAAACCCATTACCCCTTGTCCAGTCGCTACAGGCCCTTGTTGAAAAGTTGAAAATAAACATGGGGGACACCTAGACATGCGTGTATGTGAGAAGCTGTATGCATTTTTCGTGGTGAAAAACACAGTCTTTCTGCTTTATTGAATCTCCATGTTTCAGGTACCAAGGATGCAACACAGGTAATGGAATTGTCTATAGACTGCTGCTAAAATGTGTTTTATTTTCAGATCCATATTTTAAAAGTATTAAAGAAAAATTAAAGAAAAATGGAATGATTCTCAAAAATGAGTTAAAAAATTTACTGCACTTATGTCAGACTTCATCTGATGTGGAACTAGCCAGAGAAGTGATTTACAGGTATGTTTAACAATCCAGGTAACACTCTTTGCTGTCTTAAGTTTTTTGCTTTTATTAGATCCTCTCAGTTTATGTCAGCAGTTGAGGGGGCTTGCCCTAACTCATTAGCTATATGCATAGTTAATCACTTAAACTAAGGCTGTATTTTGGCTTTGGATCTTCCAACCCTTTAGGCACTCTTAGATCAAAGGAGAGTCAAGCTGCGGGAGCAAAGAGGTGTCCTACTGTATGCAGACTGGTCAGCAAGCCGCACAGAAATGTCATCTCTCAGGGGTAGTGGTGTGTTCAGTGGGATTTTCCAGCCAAGACACACCTGGTAATGAACTGGTCTGGACCCAGCAGTGGCAGGTCAGGAGGCTTTGTGAATGAAAGCCTTACCAGCAACTACAGTGTAGGAGCTATAAAGAAAAAGGTTAAGTACCTTATGTTTTTATTTATTTTCTTTTTTAGTGTAGGAGAGAAAATTTGAGGTATTTTAGGAGGTTCTGCTGCTAAAATAGACTGCTGCAACTTCCTGTGCTCTGTGTTTAGAGGGTAAAGTAGCTGGGAATTTTTGTGGCAGTATCCTACTCATTCTATTACTAATCCAAAGCAGGATACTTTACTGGAAATAAAAGAGGTTACACATTACTAGTTAATTTATTAGTTTGATCAAAACAATATTTTTTCCATAAAATTAATCTCCAGTTGTCTAAATGTCATCAGCTGGTGCAGATAGAGAAGTGTTCCTCTGTCATTGCACATGCAGATCTTGCTGTCTGTTTAAAGCTGTTTTCCCTTGACAAATTCCATGCCTTGTGTGATTAACTTTTTTTTTTAATGTTTCAATAGGTACCATGAACAGAATGGAATCACAGCCTTACATGATTATAAATTTGGGCCCCTCTTTATGAGGCTATGTTATGAACTGGACCTTGAAAGACCTGCTGTAGAACTTATCAAAGATCAGGTAATTCCCCCATGTATTTTGAAAATTCTGTTGTTATTATTATTATTAGTCCAGTATGAGTAATTGGTATGCTACACATGAGCTCACAGGCTTGAAGTATATGTGTTGCAGTAGCAAGGAAGTCTATGACATTAGTGTAAGGATGCATGGGTTTTATTTTAAAAAATAGCAAAACAGTAATAAAAAAAATGCTAGTTTGAGTAATTTTTATTGTACTTCTGTATAATTGCTTCATTTGAATAAAAAGTATGATTAAAAAATAGTCCCTCAAATGAACACGGCTGATGCATGCTTTCCTGCACACTGTGTTGCATTACATCATGCTTGGAAGTGAACACTTCTGCATTTGTGTGTGGTAGTCCTCTGAAATCCCTTGGGTTATTTTCACCAATGGAGTTATCATGTTACTCTGTACTTCAAAATCCCTCTGAATCCTGTAGAGGTGGTATGATATTCATCAGCTCAGGAACTTAGCTGTTTTTATGCTGGAGAGACTTAAGGACTTGTTTTTGAACACGCATAAAATGCTATGTGTGCTATTATGATAAGATATTAATCATGTCCATTGTATAATAAATTAGAAAGATTCTGTGCAATACTGTTGTGTCTTCAAAAATCTCTGGCAGCCAGTGGAAAGTCATGTCTGTGATGTTAATTCAGTAAGGCAGGAGATATGCCTAGCCAGAAATGGGAGAAGTCTTGCTTGGACTACTATTCTTAAATTAGGCATGTGTGGTTTTTTGCTGTGTTCTGGGTTGGGGTTTTTTGTTTGGGTGGGGTTTTTTTTTGGTGGGGGGGGAGAGGGGTTGTGTTTTCTGTGGGGTTTGGTTTGTTTTGGCTTTTTTGTGGTTGTTGTTTCTTTGTTTTTTAATTGAGATCTCTGTCATTAGATGATCTTTAAGGTGCCTTCCAACTCAAACCATTCTATGATTCTGTGATTAAGACGAGTCCTGCAGCACTTGCAGGACTTAGTAACTGGTGGATAATAAGGTGCAGTCCCACTTCTTCAGGCTCTGCTACAGAAATTTAGACTTAATACCCCTAGCATTTGTTTGGCTATTCCCAACACACAGTGTGATTGAAGTGGAATGTAAAATATATTTTCTTCTGCTACTTTGCTTCTCATCACTCAAGCCCTCGTGCTGATCATTTGATACTGGGATTAGCAAAAATGTCTTTCAGTTTCATGGTGGTGATACTTTAACCCAGAGATACTGTTAGTCAGCGTGCATTGCCATTAGTGATTTCTGCCTGCATTAACTCAGGGATCACAATCTGTCATTTAAAAAAAATGATAGTGGGAATATCTGGGAAATTTCTGTTTAATTTTAGAGGGCTTTTGACCATACTGACTCCCTGGTATTTTAGAATTTACTTGACAGAGGGACAGTCAGGGCACCCAGAGAGTTAAATGTTGAACTTCTGAAGATGGGGCTTATTCCAGTAGGAAGACCTGCTGCACATTGTGCTTAGTAAGAATGCTCACTGACTTAACTTGCTTTACGCTTGCTCTGTTTGTATATTTCTTCTCCAGAACTTGCGTGGTTTTTTCTCCGACAGTACGTCGTTCCATATTTTGATGACTATGTTGTTTAAAAAGGGACATTTTGAAAGTGAGTACTGTGTTTGCTAAGGCAAATGCATTTTGAGGAGAGTGCTTCTCACTGTAAGTGTGTGTATGTAAATATATATGTCTTTAATGAATATTGCTGATTGATTTATGGTTTTAGAAAATGCCAAACATCATATGAATTAGTGTGGATATAGATGAGCTGCACCATAGTGTGCCATAAAAATGGAAAGCCTTATACTTCCAATGGTATTCGTACCATTCTCAGTTGCACAGAACTTTGATTATCATGGGGAGCTTGTTTCCTAAATCCTCTTCTCTGAACGCTTAGCTTCTCTTTGGTTTGTAGTTTCCCACAGCTTTTTGTTTTCTGTATTCTAGGTTTGTTTTACGTGGTTGTTGGAATAGTAAGTTCTTCAACAATTTTTTTGGCTGTTCTGCATTTGTTTCAGAGCAGGGAAGAGTACGCTTTCCCCTTTGATAACAAAACCAGACTGTAGTTTTCTCTTGATTTGTCTCATTAGTATGCTTAACACAGAGTGGCTACTGCAATATTTAAGTCAAACGCTTCAAATCAGTTTGACCCTTTGTGAGGATAAGGGGGAATCGTCTAACCTGACTGAAAAGACTTAAATTGTGTATGGAGTAAGCTTTTCAAGAAAATTCCTGTATTTGAAATTTGTTGAACATGCAGCACTTGGTCTCTTGAGGTTTAGCAAATCTAAATCCTGCAGTTGTCCTAAAAGTTAAGACTGAGCCACTGTAAAAACAACTAGATCAGAGCCTGAATGCAGTGTTGTGGTGTAGTGGAGAGTGTGTGTTATTGAGGATCTATTAGTTTCCTAAAATGATGGAAACTTTGATCATGAGCTTTGATCAAAGGCTTGCTTTCTGGGCAGTTAGAAAGAATGAGAGTGGTTTTATCACGTATCTAGAATTTAGTTTTAGATTTGTATGAAACTAATAGAACAGTAAGGCCAGATGCTAATGTAGATTGCAGACCTCCTTGCTGGGATGATATATTTACATCCAACTGACCCTAAATTAAACTTTTTGAAATCTATTAGGTTTTTTTAAAGTAACAGAGTTCAGATTACATTCTTATTTTGAAACAGATTTATTGAGCTCATACCATGTTGGTTTTTTTTTTTTTCCAGTTATTAAATATACAGCCTTACATTTCTGAAGTGAGTGACACTAATGTATTTTTGATAGGTGCTTTGGAAGTTCTGGTAGAAATGAAAAAACAAGGTATACCTTTCAACAGAGAAACCTATCTACTTGCATTTGCAATATGCTACAAACTGGTAAGTATTTTCAATTTACATGTCGAAAAAGTATTTGAAGGGCTGTCCTGGTTTTGGCTGGCATAGACTTAATTTTTTTTCCTAACAGATGGTATAGTGCTATGTTTTGGGTTTGGCATGAGAATGATTTTGGTAACACACTGATCTTTTTAGCTGTTGCGAAGTAACTGTAGTGCTTGTACTAAGTCAATGACTTCTCAGCTTCCCGTGCTCTGCCAGGAGGGGGGTGCACAAGAAGCCAGGAGGTGGCATAGCCAGGACAGCTCACCCAGACTGTCCAAAAGGATGTTCCATACCATATAATGTCATGCTCATTGTATATAACTGGAGTTGGCCAGGGGCAGGAATCGTGGCTCAGGGCCGGGCTATTGATCACCAGGTGATGAGCAGTTGTTGAATTGTACAGCACTTGGTTTTGTAAATTCCTTTTTTAATGATGATGCTGTTGTTGTTGTTATTTTATTATTAGTTCATCTTCCTTCGTTGTCCATTAAACTGCTATTATCTTAACCCACGAGAGTGTTTTTTTCCCGATTCTCTCCCTCATCCCACCTCGGGGAGTGGGGCAAGTGAGCAGCTGCTTGGTGCTTATCCCTGACTGGGGCTAAACCACAACAAATGCCTTCTTTGTGTCTTCCTTTTTTTTGATTTTAAAATTTCCATATGTTCCTGGTCATGATTTCTTATCTAGTGCAAGACATATTTAAGTCCTAAATTGCTTCATTATGCATGATACGGTGTACATATATATCTTCCCATACCAACTAATGTCACAAAGCAAATCCCCAAAAAATTACATGGTCATAAACACTAAGGAACAAATTTCATGCAGCCTTTGATTAGCTGATTGTATTCTTTCTCTGCGATTTGTACATCTTTTCAGACTGTGCTCTATGCTTGAGCCTCAATATTGCTTTTATAGTTTGTCTTCCTGAAGAGACAAGGCATTTATATGATGCATTGTTTTTGTAAGATATCTCCCATCCTTTTTTCCCCTCCCTCCACCCCAAGTAACCTTGAACCATTTCTGCAGTTGCACCCAAAGTTGACAAGGAATAGAGTTCTCAAAGGTATCTATTCCTCTATGCCTGATGAAAATGGACAGCCGTGTGGAGAAAAGAAACCTAAACAAAGGCCTTCAGTGAGAGACAGGCACCCCTTGAGCTTATCTAAGTATTTTTAGCACAGAGAAAAAGAGCATGAACACAGTAAGAAACTAGGCTGCATAGGTTATGAAAGTATTTTCTTAGAACTGTTTTCTTTCTGTAGCAAAACTAGATTCCCCAAACTTTTTTATTTTGATCTTCCTCTCTCAATTTGAATCAGTTCTGCAATTTGAAATACTAAGACACATCCTTTCCAGACTTAGTAGGAAACTATTCTTCAATTTCCCCATATTTTTAGGAAGAAAGACACTAGGAGAAGAAAAAATGGACCACTAGACTAAACATCCTCAGGTTTCTCAGTAACCATTCAGTGAAATTGAGTGCTTATGTGATAAAAAGGAGTTGGCCTAAAATGGTAGCTCAGTAATAATTTATCTGGTGCTTCTGAAATTCTCAGTTCTGATGAATCAGGGCTGCCTTTAAGTTAAGGGAAATAGAACAAATGATGTGGCTTTGGCGTTTGGAGCGTGAGCCAGTAAACAGAGTTGAGATAGAGCTGTGGAAGTTGTCTGTTGTTTAAAACAGCTAGCGTTTTTTCAGAAGGTTATGAATGTACAAGGACTCTGACACTGTGCTACAACCCAAGTTTATAAAGTGGTGTTTGCTGAAACAATATTTGCACTTCAAGGTTGCTCTTTGGTTTCTGCTCTGCCCATTTAGGTAAAGGGTTTCACAGAAGCCCACTGTGGTTCTCTGAGGTATCCTTTACTCCCTCTGCTGTAGCTTCTTCCCTAAAATCTTTACATCGTTCTTTCCATGGCCTGCTGTCAGAAGGCTTGGATCCATGGCATGTGCAACAGGAAGAGGTTCTCGATACTTATGTTTTCTGCTACTTCTAGTCCTACCTGTGTGTTCAGCAGAGGATCTGCTCCATCATTACTTGTTTAGTGAATTGGTAAAAACAGAGTGAAAATTATTCTAAACTGTCACCTGGTTGTTTTAACAGCCACAATAAATGTGTGGGTTTTTTTTCATTACAATAAAATAGTATCAATAAGGGAATAAGTTGTAGTAACCCTTTATGCACTAAAGAGGATTAGTTGGAGCTCTTTCAAAAGCTTAATCTGTCAATTCAGTTATTAGTGGTAAGAGGAGAAATGGTGAAGCTCAGAAGTGTTTTTGCTCGTGATGCAACATGAAACGTCAGAAAAAATCTTGAAGGGAAATATCTTCAAGATGCACTACTTGAATACTGGAAGTAATGGTGCTGGTATCATTAAGAGCAGTTCTGGATTTTCACCAGGTTAATTCTTGGTTTCTTTTGAATACTCATGTTAGAGACCAATACAGGAAAATGTACAAGGATTAAAGCTCAGATTATTGCTAGTGAATAAACAAGCAATTAATGTTTAATCTTTCTAAAGATTAAAGTTTTAGTTGACCTCTAAAACACTTTTGGAATGTTTAAAATCATTGTAAGGCACTGCTATCCTCTAAGGTAACAGATGGTCCTTCTTTCAGTGCAGGAAAGGGCTGTAGGCCTTTTGATGACACCAAAATATTTATGTAATAATAGCCTTCTGGTGGTCAGAGTGTTTCTAATTTTTAAAGAACATGTTTTAATCTCACATAGTGTAAAAGATATTTTCCTAAGTTGTGAAGACCATTCTGCAGGGCCATGGAAACGCATCCTGCAAACACCCAAAGGATGACCCTATCCCTTAAATCACGGCCAGTATTTTGCAGGAATGACACTTTGAACAGTAGAAAAAGAAATCAACAATAAATAGTAGGAAGGAATGTGAAGGCTCTTACCCGTATTGGTGGTACAAGTTGTTACAAAACCTTCCTGCTGTCAGCTTTTAAGTTTGGCAGGTATTACTTTGGGGTCCAGTCAGCTCTACTCAGAATTTCCACTCTGTAGCTTTGAGTATTGTAATTTGATGTTGTGTTTCTCAAGAACTGCTGCACAGAGTCTCCTTGGTTGAGTTCAGGTGTGGATTGCCCTGGTGATCTTTACAGTATGTTGACTTCTGAATATGATCGCAATTGCTCACGGTCCCTTCAGATCACAGGAATAACAAGTGCAACTTGGGTTTGAAATTTCTATGCAGGACAACCTGGAGTCTTGCAAAATCTCTGCCAAACTTCTTGAAGAAGCACAGCTAAAGGGTGACACATTACCACTGCGAGTATTCTGCTTTGCTGTGGCAACTGCTCTGAAACAGGTACAGTACCTTTTGATTTGATTTGTGCCTTTATCTCTATAATTTTATTGTAATAAGATGGTTAGTGAAAGGAATTTCACATGCAGGAGGCATAACTAATCTATGTAATAACTTCCAGTACTAAAACTTTTTGGCACCCGAAAGAGTAGGATTATAGACAACTCCCACAAAAAGTGAATGTGGAAATTCTGAAATCTAAACATATGTCTTCAGTCTAATGCACAGGCATTTTGTGCTAGTGACAATGACATAGAGAAAATTTTTAGAAAACTTAAGAGCTGGGTCAGCAGGTTAGATGTAACTATGGACTCAGTTCTGCAGACCCTGCTATTTAGTGATGCTTTCCTTTAAATGATTATTTTTAAAATGTTAATTTAAAATATTCACACAATCGTCTCTTTAAAATGTGTATCTTTGGAGGCCACTCAAAGACTGTGGTGTGTATTGCCCTACTGCCTGGGACATGGCCTGTTTCTTCACAGGGAGGTTTCCATATACCTCATGTGCCTAAGCACTGGTGGGGAGAGGCTCTGAGGCAGTACAGGGTGAAGATTGAGCAGGAGAATAACAATTAGGGAATTCTAAAGCCTAGTATTTTCCCTGCCATTAATCTGTGTATAGAGCTTGAGGAAATTCTGACCCTTCTCTGTTTCATGTCTAAACAGAGGTCAGAGACACTGTAAGAACTAATGATTTGATGTTGTTCACAGATTTGAATAAATGGAGTAAAATTGTTAAGATTTTCTTACGCACTCTGTGGTCTTTTTTGCATTGTCTGTGTGAACAGAGACACCGAACAATAGCATCATTGAAATTAATTTATTCACGTGCATGGTGGTATGACAGGGCTTCTCGTTGGCACTGAGGTTAAAAAATAAAATCTCTTTTTCTGAAACAACATGAAATACCCTCAACACTGTTGCTTTATGTAAAAAACAGTTAAAATTCTTGTTTTGCAAACAGAATAATGCTCCACGTTACACTTAACTATTCCTCAAGCTGCATGATCTTTGACAGTACATCTTGTTCTGAGCAGGATGTTTCTTGATCCCAAGTAACTGGGTTGGTCTAGTAAATGTCAGTGTAACATTTACTGTCTGTAAAAACCAGTTGGTGGCATAGATACAGTACTGTAAATGTGTATGTCCAAAAGCTTAAAAGTGCTGGGCAGGATAAATATCCACATTAGCATATGCTCCACTTAACTGTTCTGACATGTGCCAAACTGGGCATGTGTGTAGATCGTTTATCTTTCAGTTGATCTTGTGCTTGGTGTTGGCTACATGCTTCATTTCCCTACTGATCCAAGGCAGAAAGTACTGTCTGAATGTGCTAAAGAGCCAGATGACAGGGAACTCCAGCGTGGTGTCTTCCTTTCACAGGCTGGACGCTGTTTGGAGCCTGTGGCTCTTTGTGAAGGTGTTCTAGACAGTGGATTGTGATTCACTGAAAAGTTGTGAAAGTCTTGTTTGTCTTGAACTTTTACTATGAAAGTGTCACACGTCTAACTATGTTTTTTTAATTATTTATAACTCTTTCCTAGAATGACGTAGCACAAGCCAAATTTTTTTATTCTCAGATAGTGAAAACGGAGAACAAACTATACAGTAATCTTAAAGTAAGTATGCTTTTTTTGTCTTAGAATCTTGCAGAGAAGTATGCTATACTGGACAAAAACTCCATGCATAAAGTAACTTAGCAGCACTTAGTAGCACAGGTGTGTTTCCATACTGTTGCTGAGCTTGTTTTTGAGCCAACAGACAACTTCTGTCAGTTGGATGAGTTACATCTTGAATTGTTAACACCCTCCCCCCATGTTTTAAAATCGTTTCCTGTCACAGATGGGAATGGAAAGTAAATCCATCCTACATCTGTGAGTATAGACCTGTGAACAATTTCTAATTATGATGTGACTTTTTGCTTTCTTGCTACGAAAGATTTAAAAAACCACAGCTCCCAATAAATGCCTTCCTTAGCTCTGCTCTTCCCACTTCAGACCTCCTTCAACCCTATGAACCTTAACCACATATGTACGTACAACCATTGTTTTCTTTACTTGCATAGTCTACAACCTGAGAGGAAGTCTACTGCATGTGCCCTGTAATTGACCTCTCCAAGCTATGGAAAAAAACGCTTTATTCAAGGACTGCTAGTACAGCTCCATCAGAGGACCCCTGCCTCCAGGCTTACCCTTCATTTCCAGGTCTCAGCTGCAAAAAATCTCCAAACTTCTGTGGAAATAAATCATTCCCTCTGCTTTCTTCATGAGTAATGGATTTTTATCAGTGCACCATCTAGAAATGTATTTTGTCCTGCTTTGCTTCATGTCTTTCTCAAACATTTTCTTTTAAAATTTGCATTCTGATGATAAGTCCTATTTGTGTGGTGTGTTTTTATTTTATTTTTAAGGTTCTTGTCCAGCTCAGGTCTGGTTTGCTAGAAGAAGTAATAAAGACATTAGAGGCAGCAGTGGAAGTGGACATTCCTCCCTTTGTGAAAAAAATAGAGTTTTCTGAGCAGGTGGTAAGTATACAAAGAGAGAAGATCCACAGTGCTTGGCTGAGCCATGATGATGGTGGTTCAGCTACAGAACTGGTATACAGTAGAAAATGGAATTTTCCACTAAGTAAGAACAGCGAGCCAAATATTTTCATGCCTGAGTTCACCCTACTAAATCTGTTTGGGTTCTGATGCATTCAGATGCCAAAGCAGCTGGCTGGCTTTCCATACTGTGGGACAAAGCACTTAGCTGTCCACTTCCTTTTTTTTATTGTGGATCTTGCTCTTAAAAGCTCAAATTTTATCTGAATGTAGATGAAGCATTCCCTAGTGGCATTAAATAATTTAATCCCTTGCCTTCCATGCTATTTTCATTGAATCCAAAAGTAAGAATAAAATTCTGATCACAGTGATACTGTTAGGTTGGTAATATTAGCGAAGACCTGTGATGCTATACAGGGAAATGTGATATGGGAAATAACAGCATTTGCTATTTTACTATAAAAGGTTGCCCTTGCAGTATTAATAACCAAGAAGTCTTCCTTCAGAGCGCATGTGCCCTTGTCAGCTTGGCAGCATTGCTGCTGCTTTTCCTGAAACTTACTAGTGTGTTCATTTTGAACATGTCTGAGGAACAAGATATTTTCAGACTGTTAATAATTCAGTATATAACTTTTCACTGCTGCCTATTAAAATGAATAACTGATAATGAAAAATGACAAATACAAGGTTAAAAGGGGGCCTACCTTTCAAAACATAGCCCATGTATATTAACTCCTGTGTTGAAAAGAAATTTTTTTAAGCAGCATTTAATTTTGTAAACTCATCCAAATAAATGTTGCATGTGCCAATGTTGCATTTTGATTTTGTTTGGCAAATTTGTAAAGAGTCCCTAAGAAGACTAAGCGTTAGTCTTAACCCATTCCTTCCATAAAAGTTTATTGATCAATAATGATTTTTAAGAGAAAACTTACACTTGAGCTCATACTCTGTGTATGACACAAAGAACCGCTCAGAGTTCTATAGTCTGACTTTTATTGATTTGTACTGTACTGTGCATTCAGTGCAATACATAGTAATAATTAAAATTGTGCTGATCTGGAAAGTAGATTCCAGGAAGCAATTACATTTCCTGGGTTGAAATAGAAAATAATTGTGTCTATACTACGGTTGAAAAAATGACTGTACAACTTTGAGGAAGTTTTAAATCTAATAAACTCTCTCTAATAGATACCCAGCACATTTCCACCATTGTCTGGTGATGTATAATGTGTGCTGTGTAAAATCCTCTTCTTACAAGTCATTGCATTAGCCACATACCTTACACTCTGTTCTTTTTTTTTTTCTGTGAGTGATTGCTTGTCTTCAGTATGGTGGTTGAATGAGATCTTCTCTTGCTGAACTGTAAGTGTCTGTAACTTTTCTCTTCTTTAGCTGGCTACAGTCAGGGAAAAGATGGAAGAACACCCTGACCTTTCTGCCAAATTAGGAGACATTTATATGAAACTACAAGCTTCGGGACGGATAACCATGTGCACGCTGGAAGACATGCTTTTCCAGATTCCTAGTTCAAAGAAGACCCCTGCAAAGCTTTTGAATCAGAAGCAACTGGGCTATCAGTCAGCTAAACCACTTTGGTCAAATCTGTTGGTGGAATAGTTCAATATTTGATGGCAAACTGAACTGCTGTTAGCAACTCCTAGAAGCCAGGTTCAAATAAAATGCCTTCTCTACTCCTCCACAAAGAGCAATTGTTTTAGTTGTTTATGTGAAATTGCATTTTAAATACAGATCATGTAGCTTCCACGTTTCAATTTTGTTGCTAAAAACAAGCCACAATAGTGGTTATTTGTGTGCTGTTCAGAAATGGAGTGAGAATGGGTTGAAGTTTTTCCTCGGCCACTTAAATCAGGATTTTCCTATGTTAAGCATCCTGATAGAAGTGAACAAAATAGTATGTATATCTCACCTGACTGCTGTGGTTCATGAGAAGAAAATTCAGTTTTCACCACGTGTCGTGCTCTGACTGAAAACATAGATACAGCCCAGAGTCTAGATAAAAGAGTATGGAAGTGCTTTAACTATTTTTTCAAATTCTATACATCCCAAGAGAATCAGAGGAAAGCATCTTTTCCTCCCCTTTGTATCTTTTTCCTCAGAAGCAATATATTAGTAAGTTTTTTTTCCTATCAGATGGGATCATGGAAATGCTAGGAGAAGTAGCATTGTAACCAAGTGGTTGTTTCAGTACTAGAAGGAGATTCCTAAACAAAAGTCAGAGTGAGTGGCCCCATGTACTGCTTCCTTCAATTTTTTGGATGTTAAGCCTCCCAGGATAAGCAGATCTTGATACAAATTTGCAACGAAGTCTTAACATGTTTAGACCAAGTAGGATCACTTCTTCAGACTAGAATTACATATCATCTGCATAATTCACTCATACGCAGAGCAAGGGATCATAAAGACAGTGCAACGAACCTTCACATTGACCCAGCTTAATGACTCCAGGCCAAATGTGCTTGTTTCTAGCAATAGGAAGCTGTAACTATGAGTCCTGTATACCCAAAAATCTTTTTTCATTCACCGTCTGGAATAGAAGAAATTGGAGGCAGCTGAACCTTGGCTCAGGTACTTTGGTTTCTTTTTGCATATGAAGTGATGCGCCTGTTGGCACAGAACTTGGCAGTCCTGTGTGCACAAGACTAGGTGGAGCCCAGCTTGGTACTCTCCAGGTTGGGCCACCTTCTCTCTCCTTTGGCTTCTGTTCTTTTTATTTTGTTTTTCCCCCTCTTCAAGCAAATGTCAGAACTAGAAGGCTTCTTCCTGGGAATGAATCTGTGCATGCCTTGTGAAACTTTGTTGAAGCCAGTGAGTCAGTGTGAAGAAACAAGAACCCATCCATGCAGAAACACAGCTTTAGCCATCAAACCAAATAGGGCTAGAGCAGGTCAGAGGTTTCCTTCTGGGTCTGTAACACTGTAACTCATTTCTGTCACCAGTGTGTCTTATTAAAGGCTGAGAGAATTGCGCTGAAGGCTGAGAGAAATGGGCTTGTTCAGGCTGGAGAAGGCTGCAGGGAGACCTTACAGCCCCTTCCAGTACTGGAAAGGGCG